ATATTGTCTCAAGAAGAACCCTAAAAAAATCTCAAAATCTCAACTTTTGTCAAAATTAGGGCAAACTTGAAATCAAAGATTCAGCCATATTCAAGACCAAGCGACCATTCAAATCAATTTCTGAGGTACCATAGAGTAATTTGGGATCATTCTTGATGATCAAAAGTGCTTGAAACCTACATTCCATGCATCACTGATTTCATGTTTTTTTGTGAAATTCATATTTTAATATTCATGATGATTTGATTGAAACTAACAATTCTGATGTGTTCCTGAGATGAATTAATGCAGGTTTCACATATATTATGCAGCGCCTATTCTCAAACACCAATGAGCACCTGACTTAGTGGCATGCGATGCAATAAAAAGTCAGGAGGGTGTGGGTTCAACACCCACCCCATGCAGTTTTTTTCTTCATATTTTTGTCTTAAGCTAATTTCTTTTATTTTTCTCTTTTCTAACCCTATTTTTTTAATTAATTAATTATTAAACTAACCTAAATTATTTACTAATAAATTAGGATTAGGTTTTTTTAACTAATATTTAATTTTCATGATATATTAAATTAATTAATATTTTTCTTAATATTAAAATTAATTAGAATTAGGTTTCTTTTAATTAATAATCAATTATTGACATATTTTTTATTTACTAATTAATTAGGCTAATTAATATTTTCTTAAATATTATAATCAATTAGAATTTAGGTTTTAATTACTATTATCATTTAAATTATTTTCTATAAAAATACAAAAATACAAACTTAGGTTTTATAACATTCAAACATTTTTCTTATTTCTTTTTGCTATTTATTTTCTTTAAAAAGTGTATAGGTTGCAATCTTTAATTTTAATAGTTTAGATTTATTTCTCGCACTTTTTCTCTATTATATATCTGCTCCCAGGATGTAATAGTTTTAGGGTTTACTTTCCCGCATTTTCCTACTTATGTAACTGCCCCAAAGCCCTGTAATAGCTTAGGTCTTTACATTCTGCACTTTACTTTTCCTGCTATATTTTATATTGTTAGTAACTAGAGTTTGTATGACAAGATTAAAAACAGTCGTAGCAAAATCCTAATTTTCAAGATAAAGATAACTGAATTGAATACACTATTCACACTCACACCTCTAGGGTAACCTCTCTTTGATGCCTTACGAATAATGGTCATATCCCTCGAAATTAGGGATACTTTAGCAAAAGACCCTCGATCAAATCATCATCATACAAAAAATCATAGTCCCTCAATTTCTCTCGAGTTGCCTACAGAAAAATAATCTAGTCCTTTGAGTTTCCTACGAATAATATGATGACAGTCCCTTACGAAATTGCTAAAGTATCCTTACATGTTGTCTTCGATGACCATAAGATGACCTTACGCTTGTCCCTTCATATCCAATAGATGGGGCTATCTACCAACTAATAGTATGAATAACACTATCTCTAAAGGAGAAGGAAAGGAATAAGAACGACCTTGAATGGGTAAGGAACTTTTAATCGCTTGCTCACAACTCTTTTTTTTTTAAATAAACATTTTTCACATCACTTTTCAAACAAAATATTTTCCAACACTTTGTATACATTCTTGAGGACTGATACAAGAATTATTACAAAGTCAGTCTTACATTGACGATTTCAAAATATTTTCAAACAAATCACACACACAAAAGAAAGATTTTCAAAAGTGAACTAAGTAATTAAGAATCTGTAGATAACTATGGGTGAAAAGGGTGCTAACACCTTCCCTTTTCATATCTTACCCCCCGAACTCAAAATCTATCAAGGTCTTTCCTTTTCTTTTCACCCCTTCCTTGTTGAATAAAAGAAAATTCGATGGCGACTCTAACTATCCGCACATTTGAATAAAACCAAAAAGTCAGTTCTCCCACCGTATTACAACAAGATATATGATAAACAAAGTGCGTAAAAGTAAATGACACACAATATTGTTAATCTAATTCGGTGTACATAAACACCTACTCTGGGGGCTACCAAGTCAGGGATCAAGTTAAATACTAATAGTATCAATTTGAAGCTAAACTCTCTTATTTACAACTTTTCACTTAATCACTACCCTTGCTTAACTTCTACCTAAGACTCCCCTAAGTATGAGACCCTTCTCAAATCCCTTACAAGCACACCATAATGATTGACCAATTCTAAACACTTATAAAAATAACACAAAAGTCACACTTCAAAGACACATAATCATTCACTACTTAAAAGCTTTGAAATGACTAACAAAATTTACAACTCAAAAGCAATCCTACTCGTTCATTAATATGATAATCGAGAGGCTCACAATAAACACACAAACCCTAACACAATACAAACTAAGTTCAATAACCTGCACTAGGGTTGAAGCCTTCTATTTATAATCTTCAACGAATTAGATTTGAGTTTCACATATACAACTAGATATGACAGAGGCGCTGCAGAATTATCTCCTCAAAGATAGGACATCAATCATTAGTTTCCTCAATTATCTTCATAATTAGAAACTAACAAATCTCCTTGAAATCGACTTGAATCTTTTTAAATCTTCAAGAAAAGCGCCACATAGGATAAATAATATATTACTAAATATTCTGCACCTGTAACAAACTAAAAAAAATCAACATTCTAGCTGTACAAATTCACGATGTCGAAAGAACCAGCATATAACATTGCATTCGACACATTTCTCCAGTTGATAGAATATTTTCATTCAACATGTCTAAGCTAAGTTAGTTTTATCAAACATAATATCAATCACAACAAACAGAGAAATAACAAATGTTAAGTAACCATTTTGATATGAAGGTCCTAGGTGATGCTTATGTTGTTTTAGGCATCCAAATTTTTCTTGATAGGTCACGTGGTGTTCTTGGATTGTCTTAAAAAGGATATATTGAAAGGATCCTAAGTGATTTAATATGCAATTCTGCTCCCCATGCAATGTGCTTGTAAAAAAGGGTGATAAGCTCTTTAAATCTGAATGTTCTATAAATGATAAAGAAATTTCTGAAATGGAAAGAGTCCCATATGCTTCCGCTGTTGGCAGTTTAATGTATGCTCAAATTTGTACTCGTCCCGATATTGCATATGCAGTTAATATTTTAGGGAGATACTTGAGTAACCCAGGTTTGGGTCATTAGAAAGCCGTTAAAAAGGTCATGCGATGTTTGCAGGGAACCAAGGATTATATGTTGACCTATAAGAAGTCTGATCAACTTCAGATTATTGGTTATTCCGATTCTGATTTTGCAGGTTGCCCTGACCGGCAAAAGTCTACTCCCAACTTAATTTTTATGATGGCAGAAGGAGCTATTTCGTGGAAGAGTGTTAAACAGACTCTTACACTACCTCAACCATGGAGGTAGAATATGTAGCTTACTATGAAGCTACTTGTCAAACTATCTGGCTGAAGAACTTAATTTCTCGCTTCAAAGTTATTTAAAGCAAATCTAGGCCACTTGTGATATATTGCGATAATTCTGCTGCTGTGCATTTCTCTCAAAACACTAAGAGTTCTTCTCGCTCAAAGCATTTTGATATTAAGTATCTATTTGTCAGAGAGAAAATTCTTGAATTTCAAACTCGAATTGAACATCTTGCCACTGAGAATATGTTGGCAGATCCACTGACTAAAGGCTTAACTGTTGATCTTTTTCAAAAGCATGCAACTAACATAGATGTAGTTAAGTCATTTGATATTTTAGATTAGTGGGCGTCTGATTGTTGTATTTAATTATTATAATGAGATATGTATAAGATGACGTCAATATAATAATCATATTTCTTGTAGTATTTTAGATACTTGGACCATTATTGAATTACAAACTTAATTATATCATGTTAATTCATATTAATTATTATTATGTTGGATGTGAGTATTTGACATGTATGATTTGTTTTCTTACAGTTTCTGCATTGTTGAATTGTGTTTTTTCATACTGTTTTGATGATAAATAATTGATATATTTGTTTATAATGATTTTTATATTTTAGTAATTAATTAAAGTCGTTCAAGTAGGAAAATGTTAAAATTTATGGATTTAGTCTAATTGATTATTAAAGAAAATGTAATTATAATATGAATTATCATTTAATTAAATAAAATAAATATTATATGATTATTAAAGAAAATGTAATTATAATATGAATTATCATTTAATTAAATAAAATAAATACCATATTAAATTTAATTGTTGAATGACCGTGATAGATTAGACCATTCTTTTGGTTATCCGGCTAAGAGGTCCCTTCATAAAGCTTGGGAGATATACTCAAGAGATGCATTTGATGAACACAGAACATTCTATGCTTAGATCTTTTGTGGATGAGCCTGCTTTTGTTGATCTTCATTGGATACACATAAATCATGACACTTTATGTATCTCTGAAATCTAAAAATATTTTGTCTTTCCCAAGAGTGCCGTAGCAATGGGTGTCATTACAATTCCCTTCTTTCTAATAGTATATAGATATAAAATTGTATTAAATGTCAGATGAGATTTAAGGGTTGGATGCCACATGGTGGTAAGAGAAGATTTTTGTTAACCACATTATTACTTTAAATAAAAAAATCCTGACAATAGTTATTATGATTAATATAATATTAACACAAGTTGACAAGAAGATATTTAGAGGATCAAACAAAAACAGAACATGTTTTAAATAAACTAAAACCTATTTAAGACATGACTTTATTTTTTGATTGAGGAATTTTCATGAACCAAAATCCATAATAAACTTTACAAACTATTGAGGGTAGAGATAAACACTGGTGGAATAGAGTCAACACGTTGCTACTTCCTAAGTAATAAAAAATCTTCCACAATCTAAACTACAAAATGACTCTTGCAGTTTATGGTTGAATTAACAAATCCATCTAGATCAAAATCTTAAATGAAAATTAACATGTCATAATGCCTTTTAAGGCATGACAGAGTTTTTTTTTTTCAAAATAAAAAATAAGCATCAACTTCAGATTATCATCATATGGTGAAATTTTACTAATCATTCTCTCCTTGCAGTTTCACTACTGCTCTTGAGGTAATCTGCTCTTATTGGCCATAATTGTTCACAAACTGCTTTCATGTCAGGTCTATCTGATCTTACTGGTGCTGCACAGCTAAATGCCAAATCTAACATCTTCATAACAATGTCTGTTTTTACAGCTTCTTGCATTAAAGGATCAAGCAGTTCCACCATATTTCCTTCATTATATTTCCTGAAGGCCTGCAAAAATATAAGAACCGCATTGTTTAATTTGAGTGCTTAAAAATGAAGATGAACAATCAAGTTTTGCATCTATTACTACTGCAATGATTACTAAGCAGCAAGAAGATTAACCTAGTCTCATGATTACTAGTTCATTAGAAAATCTTGCATAATGCTTTTCAGTACTATAATTTTGCCCCTGTTACTAAAGCCTACAAAATGTCAGAAGAGAACAAGCTGCAACTAAAGTTATTCAATGGGAAATTACAGCTAGTTTTGCTGAGAGCCCCACATCTACTCGTTATACGGCCTTAAGTAGTGCTTAAAAATTATAAGACATGGATAGTCCTCCCTTTTCAAACTGATTTTGCAGGGTTGAGAAATTTTAAGATAGTATCAAAGTTTATCCTAAATCTCTTATAAGGCTTGAACATCCTTGCTTTACAAGCTAGTTTTTAGGGGGTTGAATTAGATCCTAAACTCAAATTCTAAAATAGTATCAAAGCCTACCATAGATGTTTTTTTGGGTCAAAATCTCTGCTATTCCATCCGCAATTGTCCATATTTCAGGTGTCTGGTTCTAGATATGTGAAGTACAGTAGTGTTTATAAGACTTGGACAGTCTTTGTTTTACAAGTCAGTTTTGTGGGGAATTGAGTTAGGCACTAATCCCAAACCGTCTGAGGTTTGGTCAAACTGTAAACTTTTATACCCAATGGGAAATAGTAACATACTCAGTTTCATTGTGACAGCAATAATGGATTAAAACATAAAGGTATGATAATGCTGAAACTGGGTCAACAGCATAAAATTCAGAGATGACTCCAGGTAAACTCCTGAAGCAGCATCTGTAGCATCCATTTCCATTGCATAAATTTCTCTCATCAGTTGATACAATTCTTTTTGGATTGAATCAGTTTGCAACTCATATCAAATTATCCCCATGTAGAATAAGATAAAAATGATAAATTTCTCTGAAGTGTCGGCAGAAATTATGTGCCTAAAGAGGCCCCTAACTTACAGAATCACTTGGCTGGATGCAAGCCTATAATGGTATATCATCTTTTCAAAGCATGGCAACATTCAAATGGATAGTTATTTTGCAGTAAAGAAACTGTAAATAAATCATATGTAAAGAAAATCAAAATAAGAAAAACATACCCATCTTAATGTAACTCGCTCTTCAGGAGTTTTTTTCATTTCCACAGGACGGCGGCCAGTCAGAATTTCTAAAAGCAAAATTCCAAACGAGTAAACGTCACTTTTGGGAGTGAGATGGAAAGTTTTCATGTACTCAGGGTCCAAATAACCAACTGTTCCCTTCACTTTGGTAGAAATGTGTGTATGGTCATTGCTTACAGGACCAAGCTTTGCAAATCCAAAATCAGCAACTTTAGCTCGCATCCTTTCAGTCAGAAGAATGTTGGATGATTTCACATCTCGATGGATAATTTGTTTTTCTGGTTTAAGACAACGGTTAGACATCAATTGGAAGATCTATTAACATTATTCGACTATATAGAGAAATTTTGATGCACCAATATGCCAAAATAAGTCAAAAACTTAAAGCCTAATAAATAAGCCAGAAAGGTAAAAGTAAGAAGTGCTTAAAAAGGTATCAATTGCATAGAGAATAAACTGTAATTGAATAAACAAACAACATATAATTTCGGTTGAAGTTGTTTTCTTAAAACATCTATTTACAGTATCGAAGATGCAGTCTGCATTTTATATTCGGTTTGTATGCAACGAAAATGTAGAATGTGAACAGATTTTGCATAATAAAGCATGAAGGGATTACTGACCGGCATACAGATGCAAATAGGTCAATCCATGAGCAACATCAATTGCGATTTCAAGACGCTGATTGAAATCCAGGATTTTTCCAAACAAACCTACCAGCAATATCAAAACAATAATCAGTATTACTTTCCATATTTGAATACAAATACTGGCAAAGAACATTACACAGCCTTACCATCCAAATGTTCTCGAAGAGTACCATTTGGCACAAACTCCGTAATCAGGATACGTTCATTTCCTTTGTCAATATAACCAAGTAGTTTCACAAGGTTTCGATGATCAATTTTGGCCAGAAGTTCGACTTCACTGCTGAATTCCGTTCTCAAACTCTCAAAATGTTCCTAAATGGTTCAGTCATGTCAATATGTCATCACTAAAATAAGAAAGTATTTCTACCAATTTTAGTGGTACAGCATAGTCAAAACAGTTCATAATATAGTACTAAATCATATCAATAAATAAATTTTCTGATAAAAAGAAGCCAGAACTTTAGCACTCTAAAATTGGCTGCAGATTTATAAAGTATGGACATCAAGAGATACTTCTTACCCTTTTTGCGCGTTTTACAGCCACGACCAGGCCATCATCTAAATTAGCCCTGTAGACAGTTCCAAAACCTCCTTCTCCTATTTGTAATGTTTCTGAAAAATTACGGGTAGCTTTAGAAACCTGACTCAGGTTGAGATGTAATGATTGAAGTCTACTGAGTTTTGGAGACATTGAGAATCTTGATGGACTTTGTGGCACCCGAAGTGGACTAGACGGGATCTTATCAGAAACAGATGGTTCAAAGGAGGAAGCTAAATCCACTGAAAAAGCAAAAGTGTTCATCACTTTACTTGTCATTCAAAAGTAACATGAAGCACAATGGTGAAACATGAAGAAAAAAAAGTATACAATAACAACGGTAACTGAAAATTAAGGTAATGAAGTACAGGCTTACTCCCTTTGTTCCGAAATATGCATCATTTTATTTTTTTCAATACAACATGAATTACATTGTCTCAATTTTACCGAAAACTAATACTATGAGCAGCACTTTTAGTTCATTTCATTATACCATACTATGCATTTATAACAATTGTTTATAAACCAATAGTTAATAAGGACACTTTTGTAGCATTGTTACATGTTGAGAATATATCAAGTGAGTCTGGGGAAATAGTCTCACATTGGATAGGAATGTGGTGACTTAAGCATTTATAAGTGGGAGAACCCAACATCTATCACCTTAAGATTTTATGGACAAGTAGTATATCTCCCACAAAAGTGTGTTGCTCAAGCGGAAAGTCTTGAAAATAAGAATGCTCCTTGCTCGACCCTCCCTTGATTGTTGTGTCAACATTACATTCATTTACTGTTTTTCTTTAATATATATGAAAAATCTCAAACAATACATATTTTGGAATGCGGGAGTATTTATCAAACTATGACGTTTAGAATCATACCCTTCCTCTCTTCGGAATGCATAGCATGTCCTGGATGCACATGTTTGGATACAAAGTTATCAAATGAAAGATAAATTGGAAAGAAAAGGGGGTATAAGTATATACAATATGAACATCAACTCACTTGAATTTGAGTCCTTTTCCAGAACAGTATGAGCAGTTGTCTTCCTTCTCTTCCCATAGAAACAAGGGCAAACAATAGCACAACACACCAACAAAGCTCCACCTGCAAATATTCCGACATGGTTGCTTGACACATGCTTAGAATCTCCTTGTGATGTGGAATTTTTGTTCAAATCTTCCTGCAAAAGTTTCCTTCCTCCCATTGAAGGAAAATTCACTGCAAGCAATAAAAATCAGCATAAAGGGTTAAAAGAAATGCTGTTTAAATTAACAGAAATGAAAAAATGCAAAAAAACAATTCCTCACCATGACTCGAATACGAATTCGCTACCCAATTATTGCCACAATCCTTTCTCTCCAAAACAACTTCAGACCCAAAAATTGTTGACAATTGCAACAATATCACCAACAACAAAACAGTATAATCCATTTCTCAACTAAACAGTACACTCCAATTACAGATTTGTGCCCTAATACACAATGAAATCATTCCTTTATTCTATAAACACAAATTTTGAGCTATGATTCCACTAAAAGTTGTCTGAAAAGCAATTAATCAAAACATATAGGTCAATTTACCAAATTAAGAAACCATGAATTGACGAGGAAACTATATTATGAAGCAATGAAAAAGGAAAGTTCAATTTCCAAAAGCTGGAACAGAAAATCAGAGAAAAAATCGCAAGAAATTTAGTTGCAGATAAGAATAAAGATAGTTCACTCATTAATATGAAACATAGTTCATAGAGATTAGAGAGAGAAAGGAGAAGAAGAAATGCAAAGGTGGACTATGACGTAATTCTCAATTGCCGTCTATACGAAATATTATAATACTATAGTTTTCATTGTATTAAATATATGTTTATATATTTTTATTGTATAGTTTTATTATGTATGTTTGTATATTTGATATTGTTATTGAAAATAGGAAGATGCCGTGGTTGACCAATGTTCAGAGCTACTTGATTTGAGTTGAATTGAATTGCGCGGAAATTACACTACGAGGGTATATTTGGCATTTGGAAAAATATATCATGCGGTAGGGATGATGATAGAGTTTTTTTTTTTAAAATAATTAAGTTTAAAATAAAAAAAATCGTAAATAATCATGTTTCGGAGAAAATTATACAAATAACTATATTTTAGAAAATCTCACAAAAGAGGAGTCATCTCAATTGGCGCCTACATCTTAATTTAAAGGGAAAGCGTCATCTCACTTGGCCCCTAGGTGTTAAAAGTGTGTTATAAGCCAAGTGAGATAGCGCCTTAGTGCAAAGGGGGTCCAATTTTTTTTCGTTTTTTATTTTAAATGCGGGACATTAGGTAAACGATATAGGATCACGAAAATTCGAATTTTTATTTACACAAAAAGATTACATAATAAAAAAAATACAAAGTAATTAGTGGTCCCCGGAACCCGGTAACTACCCGCGGTTCCGCATCCGCGTCCTCGCTTGTCCCGTTGTGGGTTTCGTCGCGTTTCCTGTTGTGGCAAGGTCGATGGCCCAACAAAGTCAATGTGTTTGGATTCATGAAATCAGTCAGATCTCCATATCTGGAAGACCTGCTTTGGTACAGTCGGTTACTCATACCCTCAAAGTTTGATCGGCTTGGTAGTGGGTGGGGTTTCATGGTTAGTCTATAGCATTGGTCGTCTGAGTAAGGGGTAGAAAGGAAATGAATCCTGAGGTGTTTGGTATTGGGAATGTTGGGTGCTTTGGTGATGTGGTGGTTGATGGTAAGTTGGGTCGGTTGGGTCATAATCTTCGGAAAATCCCAGATCAGGGCTAAGGTTAGATGTCGAGGGAGCCATATTGAGATATAGAGAAGATTGGAATTATGTGTGGGGCATGCGGGTGTATTGGTGTTGTGATTGAAATTGTGGTTGGGTGTGGGACATATGGGGGTATTGGTATCGAGGTGGTGATTATGGTTGAGTGTGGGCCATGTGGGTGTATTTGTATTGTGGTGGTGATTGTTGTTGGGTGGTTGTGGATCTGTATCGTTGGGGAGGTTGATGTGTGTTGGGTTTGTTGTTGGGGAAATGAGGGTTGTGCCTATTGTGTTCGTAGGTCAACCAAATACCTTGAATGAGACACGTTCATTTATGGGTTACTAACCGATATGTATCAAGCTAAATATTGATCCGTGTGTCGCATATTATTATGGTTGAGGAAAACTGAGAATTGCAAGACATGTTGGTGACGCCTATGCCACATCTTACACCATTCTGGAGCAAAATCTTTCCAATTGGTAAGACCCCATTGGGCGTCGACCCTTTTGAGATGCCGCAGGGACAAAAAAGTTGGATCGCAGGGTATCTCTTGATACATTCCAAACTGCATCTTGACACAGTCGATGTGGTGCATCTCCATAATGTTGAACCGTATGATTGCAGTCTTTATGGTCCAAATTGTTGCATCCTTGGAGTTTGGTTCATGGTCCAAACCTAAATATGGTCTCCAGATAAACCGTGGATAAAATTAAATCAGCTTAATGAAAACGTAATAAATAAATAATTTAAAAGTAGAAAAGTTCAAAGGTATGGCGTACATCATCTGGGTCAAGGTGATCCAATAGATTGCGATATAGAGTGACATTGAATCTTGGATTCTTGCCGTAATTCATACCCCTCACGCAGTACCTAAAGGAATTGTAAAATAGTTTATTTTTATCATATATTTGGTGAACAGGTGAATAATAAATGATATAAGTTCTTGACTTACTTTGTTGTGTATGAGAAAACGAATGCGTTGTTGTTGACGGGGTTTAGGGACTCCATTCTCCACCAACCTCGGGCTTGGAGTAAGAAAGTGCATCCGTAAAAAGTACATTTTTCTTTGGTTGCATTTTTACACAAGGAACTGTATAGATGGGCTAAAACAGCGGAATTCCAACTATACTTTCTATTTTTTTCAAAGTTTCTAAGTAAATTTAAATACATGAAATTTACACTATTCTCGTACTTTCTGGAAATAAAAAGGTTCCAAAAAGTATCATTATATAATTTCTAGCTTTTATTACTCTATCTAGTTCGGAGGAATTTTCGTTCAACTCCAGAGTCGTATAATGATTTTTGAGTTTAGTAAATAGTATACCTTGGCCTCTAGCACCACCACCTTCAATCATATCCTTGCCCAATAATTACTCGCACAGAGAATTGGGCTGTTGAACCGACTCGTTAACCGCCTTACCATCGATAGGGAGATCCAATAACATGTACATGTCCTATAGTGAGACGGTACATTCACCTATTGGTATATGAAATGTGTGTGTCTCGGGTCTCCACCTTTCCAACATTGCAAATATGAACTTTGAATCAATCGCGCAGTTGAAGATCTGTATAACATTTCTGAAACCTACATATTTGAGATACAACACGATCAACGGATCGAGAGCAATGTAGTTGTGTGACCGAATTCTGAATCTTTTGGTATCCTAAATTTATAATATAAAAGTGTAAGAGTTCATAAGATGTATAAATCATTATATCACGGAGTATACAAGAAAATTTATAAGCATACAAGAAAATTTGAGAATTTTTAAAAACTTACAAATGCTGCAATATTGTCCCTTGTGCCTCTGTGAGAATCGTCCATTGTGAGAAGAGTCATATTTGAAATTGTATGAGATAATGAAAGAGTTTGTATCAGAGAGTGAGATGATTGTTGGTGTAAAACAAGTATGTGAGGATCTGTATTTATAGGCAAAATTTTATCACAGAGTGAATAAATGAGGTGGTTGGTGGGTGCATGCATGCATGCATGATATGTGTCACTCATGAGGTGGTTGCAGTGTAGGTGCAGGCTAAGTGGAAGTCTCGGGGAAGGAATCTCTGCATACATGTAATACGATTGGATATGTAGGGAGGCACCATTTGACTTGGAAAATGAGTACAAAATTGAAAGGTGTCGCCGTCCCAGTTGGCAAATTAGAGGTGGCATGGGTTGCAGTATAGGTGCAGACTATTGAGAGTGCATACAACAATCCTGCAAACGGTTGGCATGACCCTCCTTCTACGCATGTCTATTGCTTTAGACATATCGTCTAAAATTTCACGAGGGAAATCAAAGACAAGGCTCTTAGTAAAGCGGTTATGAACGCTGGGTATGTATTAACACAACCTACGTTCAAACACTATCGCAACAAGATCAAATTATCAAATCCGGATGCAGGTAGGTGGATCCATAATATTCCGGTGGAGAAATGGACTAGGTCATACGACAATGGACAACGATGGGGCCACATGACAACAAATTTGATTGAATCCATGAATGGTGTATTCAAAGGCATATGAAACCTCCCAGTAACTACTTTGGTTAAATCAACATATTTTAGGATGGCTTCGTTGTTTTCCAAAAGAGGTGAAATGTGGAATGTTGTCTTGCAATCGGGATAATTATGGAGTGAAAGTTGCATGAATTATACTAAGGTAGAAAGTGCCAAAGACAACATCCATTTGGTTATACGGTTCGACCGACAACCATAACTTCATTGTCAAAGAGACAATCGACCATAACAAGGGGCTGCCAAGACAAGAGTATAGGGTTATACTACCTTCTCGTTGGTGCATATTCTGATACAGTGGGAAGAACTGACTGTTTTTGGAATGTTGGTTTGAGTTTTGCGTTTGTTTTTGCAAAATGTCGCGGTAAGCAAGAGTCGCCACCGCCTTTTATTTTATCCAACAAGGAAAGGAAAAAAGCACAAAAAAATTCCTTTTTCGAGATATTTCTGATTACGGGGGGTAGATTATAGAAAGGGGAGGTATTAGCACCCTTTCTATCCGTAGTTATCTACGGGCTCTTAGGTACTTGCTCATCATTTTCAAAAAAATTTCTTTGTGCTTGTGGCCTTTGAAAAGTTTTTGTTTTAACTTCGATTTAACTCTTGCTTCTGTCTTCAAGAGTGTAATGAAGTGTTTTTGAAAACTAGTTTGTAAAAGAGTGTAAGTGTGAAATTTTTTGTTTTGATTGAGCAAGTATCTAAGAACTAATCTACCTACTCGAAAAAGGAATCATTCTATGCTAATTTCCTTTAGACAATTTTATCCCACTATGAGTGAGTAGGTAGCATCGTCGTTGGAGTTTAAGGGTCAATTCGAAAGAGGGACATACAGTCACTAAAGCAATGTTAGGATGTCTTAGCTGTAACCCTAATGTCTTAGATCATTTATTCGAGGCAACGATATCCGAGGCAACCATTTCGAGGCAACTATGATCTTTTAGACAAGAGGGTGACCTCTAAAATAACCTATACTTAATGACCGTTGTTGTACCCCAAAATTTGCCCTCCCATATTCTTCATAGTTTTGACAAGCATCATCTCAATTTGCTCAAGTCTACTCAAGGGTTGCACAGTTCAAACACCCTACTAAGTCAGTCAAATTAGGGTTTTGGTTCTTGCAAGAAAGTTGAGGTTTTCAAGGGC